TGTAATCCCAGCTACTCAGGAGGCTAAGGCAAGAGAATCACTTGAACCTAGAAGACAGAGGTTGCAGTGAGCCAATATCGTGCCACTGCTCTCCAGCCTGGGTGACAGAGCAAGACTCCATCTCAAAAAACAAAAACAAAGAGAAAGAACCAAGCAATGTGGAGTTGAGAGAAGAGGCAGGATGTGAACAAGGGTGCTGGGAGTATGTGGGAGTATGAGGTGGTAGGTTGAGACAGCCTGCTGATTCCTCAACTTAGTCCTTCCATTGGCCAAGGAGGAAGTGGGAGTGAGCGGATTCAGGCCTTTTAAGTGTTATTCATGACCTGGTGAGAGGGTGCTCATGAGAAAATTCCAGTTACAGCAAAGAGGCTGACAATTGAAACCAGTCCCTGCAACTGCCACTTTGCACTAGAAATAGCGCCTCTCTCCCGCAGGCGGCAATGATATAGGGAGCAGTGTCTCCATACCAGGGTCGTCTCTGCAAGTGATTCTCCCAGTCTGGGTGCAATTTCCTCATTTTAAAATAAGTGATTACACTAAATTATATCCATAGTCAAAAATAAAAGATTTCACATATTATCCTTTAGTGCATAAAATTTTCTTTCTTTTCTTTTTTTAGGAAAATTATACCATCAGCAAGACTGGCATCAGCAAGTAGTTCACAGTGTTGATTGTTCTTGGTTTCGTAGGATTTTATAGGAGGTATGGCACTTATTTAAATGGATTTGTTTCTTTGCTACTCCTATTCCATGTTGGCTAGACAGCTTTCCTTGGGGTCTCTCATCTATTTCAGTGCCATTCCATTCATCACTCACAAATCATTAATTTGCCTGTGTTGTGTTACCTCCTGAGATTTTCTGTTTCTGAGTCAATAGAGTTGAGAGCTAATGTACATTTCACAAATATTGCTGGGAAAAGGGCTTGGAGCAAGAATTGAAGAGACTTTCTATTTTAGTATTGTATGTACCATAATAACTCATTCCTTTTATATGAGCGTGGAAGAAGGGAACTGCCAGATTAGAGGCAAGTGCATCAAAATCATTCCTCCATGTATTCAGTCAGACAGAGTTATGTTCAGCTGAACTTAAATCATAAGCAGTTATTGAGCACCAATAATATCCTTAGCACTGGGCTTGGCTAAGATAATGGAAGGAACATGAAACATGGTTTTTCTCTCAAAATAGTCACAATTAGTTGGAGAGACCAAAAACAACCATATGAACAGATAAATAAAGATCAAAAGTAAATAATATTAATTGTTAATAAAAGAAAAGGTATTACAAAGCAGAACTTAATGAACAAATAAATTATACAGATAGGAATTGCCATAGACTTTGAAAGGAAATGGGGATATTTCAGGCTATAATAAATAGTGAAGATTTTAAGGTAAAGTTTAGTGTTAGATCTTAGTGTCTTGAGTATATAGCCTAAAGTATAGGCAGGATTTGAACATATGAACAGAATTAGGAAGGAGCTATGCAAGGTGGCTGTTTGAGAAAGATCTGAACAAACACATTACGGTGAGAAATAGCACTGTACATTTGCAGTAGAGGACATATGAGTGGAAGCATTAGGAGTTGGAGTCAGATGATGGAGGCTACGGGAGATAAGCCTGAGGGTTTTGGTTTACTCTATAAGCAGTCTTTGTTCAGGACAAGGGAAATAGAACTCTGATACAGAAAGACATTGTGAGTGTCAATAAGGAATGAATAGAGCTTGAAAGCAAGAAGACCATAAGATTGATGAGAATAGAGCAAAGTCCAAGGGAATAGGCCTGAACAGATGCAGTACAGTGGGAAAAGGTGAAAGAAACGCTGGGAAGAGGAGGACTGACTCACTCACAAATGCCTATCCTCTTTCTGCTTCCTACACATTATTCTCAGAGCCATTGTACTAGTTGATCTCTCCATCTGCCATAATCTTCTTTCATAGCTTTGCATAGTTTTTTTTTTTTTTTGTCTTTCATGCTCTCAAAAATCTGTCTATAAAAGTGCCATACATTTTCTATCACATTGCACTGTCTTATTTTCTTCCTTATTCTTCATTCGTTCATTTTTTTGCTTGCTTATAGTAATATGGCTCCCTTGAAAAAGCGTAAGCTCTTTGGGAGACTGAGGCAGGAGAAGCACTTGAACCTGGGAGGTGGAGGTTGCTGTGAGCCGAGATCATGCCACTGCACTCCAGCCTGGGCGACAGAGTGAGACTCCGTCTCAAAACAACAACAACAACAACAAAGTGTTTTTAATCACTGCTAGTCACCTGGAGTACATTAGTCATGCTGTTCTCTTCTTCCTACCCTTTTGTAAGGAACTCATTCCACCTGTTGCAGAAACAGGATAACCTATGCTCAACCCTCCTGCTTAGAGGGTGTGGATGGTCTTGAACTCTAATTCTTCCAAATAAGGTTGCGTTGGTGGCTGTTCGTGAGACTAAAACACAAGCATGCTGAAATGTTCCAGATGCCTTCTATCCAATATTTTATTTGTAACCTGCATAAGAGATGTAAATAAAACTGACTTTTATCTTGATTCAGTCACTCCTCAGTTAATCACAAATGCCACAAATCACAAATGCAAGAGTTCAAACAGAACTCTTGCCTACAAAGTTCATAACTGTGATCTGCAGCACCCAAAATAATAGCTAGCACACAGTAGGTGCTTAATAAATACTTGTTGATGAAGGAATGGCAGTGAGAAAAAAAGGTGCAATGATGTAAACATCACTTCTGAAGGCTGTAATTCACATTATTATCATATGTGTAATGTGTAATCATGAGTCTGTGCTTAAAGAATTCCAAATTAAAGTCTTGATGCCAATGACTAGCCGAAAATATTACCCCTAGGAAAATTAAATGTTGTACCAAAAAATAAGAATCTTTATTCCATTAACTTAAGTGCCCATAGGACTGATGTAGAATTCCTTCAAATTTATTGAAAGAATGCTTCAGACAGGTTCTAATATACTAGCAGCAGTATCTCTAAGATCTCCTTCCTTCCAATGCCAACACTCTTATGATTTTAAGTTACTGGTTTCATAATCCAAATCAATATTCTTTTTATATAAGTACTCAGCAAGGGTAGCCACACACTTATTCCACTAAAATTTCAAATATCTAATATTTATGAATGTTACCATGGGGAACAATATTCATAGCCTGTTTCAAGAACCACATAATTAAATATATCTCATAACTTTATATGCTTCAGTTTTTGTTTAAAGTTTTATGAGAGAAACCACTAATTTTTTTAAAAAACACACATTGAGGCACTTGTTAAGACTGAATCAAATTTCTTTAACATAATCTAAGACTGTGCAGTGATAAGTTAGAAGTATAAATTGAATTTCATGTTAAACTGTGCATTTGTGATTAACTGAGGAGTGACTGAATCAAGATAAAAGTCAGTTTTATTTACATCTCTTATGCAGGTTACAAATAAAATATTGGATAGAAGGCATCTGGAATATTTCAGCATGCTTGTGTTTTAGTCTCACGAACAGCCACCAACGCAACCTTATTTGGAAGAATTAGAGTTCAAGACCATCCACACCCTCTAAGCAGGAGGGTTGAGCATAGGTTATCCTGTTTCTGCAACAGGTGGAATGACTTCCTTATAAAAGGGTAGGAAGAAGAGAACAGCATGACTAATGTACTCCAGGTGACTAGTAGTGATTAATAACACTTTGTTGTTGTTATTGTTGTTTTGAGACAGAGTCTCACTCTGTCGCCCAGGCTGGAGTGCAGTGGCATGATCTCGGCTCACAGCAACCTCCACCTCCCAGGTTCAAGTGATTCTCCTGCCTCAGCCTCCCAAATAGCTAGAATGACAGGCATGCTCCACCACACCTGGCTAATTTTTGTATTTTTAGTAGAGATGGGGTTTTGCCATGTTGGCCAGGTTGGTCTCGGACTCCTGACCTCAGATGATCTTCCCGCCTCAGCCTCCCAAAGTGCTGAGATTACAGGCATGAACCACCATGCCTGGCCAAAAAATTGCTACTTAATCTAAGCAGAACTAAATTAGGTAGAAAAGTCAGAAACCTAATTTTGATTGCAAAAGAGTTTGCTCTTATTCATTCACTGCTATATGAAATATTTTTAGCAGAATTCTAAGCATGCCAGGATGATGTTTAAAAGGAAACTTAAACAATCCTTTTACAGAGATAACTGTAAGCTAAATTCACAGAAAGCTGTAATCGAGAGGTATGAGCATCTTCACTAAGAACATTATTTGAGAAGTATGGAGGTAGGAAGAACGATAAAGGAGAAAAAGAAAGAAATAGCTCAATAGGAAGAGAATATGGAACAAGCAAATCAGGGTTGAAAAAGGACTGTGTTTAACTTTACAATTTCGCTTCTAAAAGTCACTTTCTTTCAAAAAACAAAAACAAAAAGTAAGGAAAATAACTATAAGCAGTGGTTCTCTTCTCCACTACAAGGTTCTGCAGTCTAGCTTAAGAAAATTCCCTTCATCTGGAAATAAGTTAGATAAAAATCTCATGGGGTAAAACTATTGTGAAGTGATTATGAGCTTTCTCTCCTAAAAGGACCAGCCACCAAAGTGTACAATAGCACAATCAGCTCAGCCTCTGTGAACTGCTTCAGGAGTGTCTCAGTGGATCCAGTGTAAGTGTTTTTACCATCGGGGAAAAAATGGTATTCCGTAGAAAATGAGGGTTCCACAGACTATTTAACATAGACGTGAGAAGTGCTACAAGGCAGAAGAAGAAGTTATGGCTTGACCCTGTTAGATGATCTTCTGAGGTGTTTATTAATAAGTGATAGGTTGTGGTTTTTTTTCAATGATATAGCAAGAATTTTTATCTTTTACAAGATATCAAAGGAGTTTGACTCTAATTTTCCCTGTGGATATTTGGTGGAGAGTCTCTAGATTATGGTGATAACAACACTTTAGATATTTATTCAAGAAGTGCCCCTTGTCCCTTCCTTCAGAGAATTCACAAATCTTTATTCAATTCTATCAGTCTCTGGCAAGGGAAATGCCATTTAGTCCAGTGAACAATTAATAAATGGTGCTCAGTAAGTGCTAGTTGATGATAATGATAATGATAATAATGATGAGATGATGATGATGATGGTAATAGACATCTTGATTCAAAAATAAATATGTGTAATGTATCTGTATATATGTTTATGTATATATGTAAATATACATGTTTCAAATGCTCTTCAGCCTTGAAAATGAAGATTGCACATTTTTCTTTACCATATGTAAAGGAATGCTTTCAGTTTCTGGTTTTCTATGTAAAAATTCTAGAATATTTTATCATCAATGCTTGCACTTAGTTTTAATGAGCAGTCATTTCTCAGCTGCATATAAAATGCTTCAGTAAAATAAATAGAAAAAGTTATTAGTCTGTAGTTCTTGGTGCAAAAATGATTTTCCCCAAAATTGTAGGGATTAGAAAAGTATGGTAAAATAGTAGATTTTTAACTCCTATCCAAGCCATTAATCTCTTCTCAATCTTTAGGATTCTGTAAACTTTAACATGTACTGAGTTTACTCTTGAATACTCACAGTCACTTACTCTCCTTCAAGCTCTCTCAACCACAAATAAGATAGACAGCTTTCATGTGTGGTTGGGAAATTTCCTCTTGTAGGATGGAGTTGTGCAGGCAAGAAATAACTCTTAAGACAGTCTGGGGAATGAGCCTAAAACATGGGCAGACAGAGGGTAATGTG